GAGGTATTCATGGGAATCTTCCCTCCTTTTTTTCCTTTTCATTTTCAAATGCTCCAGGAGCTCCCAGAAGCTTCTCACTTTGAAGTATTTAAATTGTATTTACTGGATACGTTTGTGCACAAAGCAATGCTCCATGCCCTCCTGGGAGTGCCCTGGAGTACCTGGCCAACTCCGGAGGAAATGAGCTGTTCCTGGACTGGCCAATCCCCCCCTGATTCTCCCAGTGCTCTCCATACTCCGGAGCACTCAGGAGCATAGGAATTTTTTGCTGATGTGGTATTCCTGAAGTCCCTGGCTAGTTCCTGGGCCTTGTGAGGTTTACCCTGAAAGATACGTTTTAGTGCGCTAGTATTATCTGCATATATGACAATGCAGGTGGGTTTTGTGGTGATGCTACCATCATCTAGGGTGCATCTGATTCCATCCATGGCTGTTTTCAGGCCCATCATCTCTGCATCATAGGCTTCAACATGTTCACCCATTGCTCCTTTCTCCTCAAAGACAACTTTGCCATGTGAGTATCCTACTGCACCAAAGCCAGTTTTGATTCTGTCGTCATCTTTGTATCGGGATCCATCCAAGTAGACGAGCAGTGTGTTTGGGTCATCTTCACACTCCGCAACGAAGTTCATGTGGTCATCAGCCCATTCCTGTTTGAATGAGTTTCCAGGGTCATCTGGTGGGGTGAAGAGTTGGATTTGGTCAGTGATGTCATGTGCAGATGTGTCCCATGTGTCATATCTGTACATACCCAATCCTGAACTGACTCCTGGACCCTTATCCTCGTCTCCTCCAGAGTCCTACCTTGCCGCCGTCCATTCCGATATTCACCTTCGGACCTGACACCACTCCTCCTCTTACTCCTCACGTCACCTCCACCCTTCCATCCTTCTCCTACCCTACTTCCATCACTCTCCTACCCTATCTCCATCTGCTCCAATACTCACCTTCGGATCAAACATCACTCCCCTCGCCACCCTCCTCTTCTTACTCCTCGTGACACCACCCTTCTGTCACTCTCCTACCCTACCTCCATCTGTTCCGATACTTACCTTCGGACCTGACACCATTCCTCCTCCACTCCTCTCCCCACTCCTCTCATCTCTCTCCTCCCTCCTCCCCTCTTCCACCAAACCTCCACCAAGTTATGACCTTCTGCCACTGTCCCGTACCCTGTACTCAGACACCACTTGTACCTTCGCTCCGGGATTCCGTCATAGTTCCAACCTCGGACTTTGACTCCACCTCGGCTTAAGTCCATTGCATTGGTGCCCTCATACTATGTAAACACCATTGCCAACATTCCTCGGACTTTCAACTCCGCCTCTGTAACCTCCATAAGCTCCACAACCTCTGAGCTCCTGTCAGGGCCTGGCCTCGGACTCGGAGGCTCCCTGACCTCAACCCCCATCTGGCCTGTCCTCACACTATGCGGGGCATGAGATGTATAGTAAAAGAAAGGGAATATATACACTTGCCTATGCGGGGCATGAGATGAGAAGAAGGGTAAAGGTCTCATCTCCCCGCATGGTTGCTATATAAAGGAATGGGTCACATGCCCACAACTATACAGCTCCTAGAGTTGTGTAGTGTGACCCGGAGGGGACATCCAGGTGGCAGTGCCCAGTAAGCGTGGGAACGTTCTGGGCGAGTTGCTCGCCCAGAACTGTGGCTGTGACCCGTGGGAACATTCTGGGCGAGCTGCTTGCTCAGAATGTTCCCACGCTATCCCGTGCACGTGTGTACACAACACACAAAGGCAACAACAAGGCAACAGTCAAAGAATAAAAGGGGGTAAAGTAGGTGGGGAGTCCGGGGCACCCTAAGGCAGGGTGCTGAACCCTGACAGCTCCACAGATCATACTCGGTACTTTCACCGATTGTAATGTATCTTTCGTGCTTTCCCCTCATCCTTATTTGGACTGCTGCTTCTCTCCATTCTAGCCAGTTAGTCATCATCCCCACTTTACCTCATCTTCCTGCCCCTCTGGGCTTCGCCCTCCCTATCTCCTTTTGGATGTACCACAGGTTCTAACCTATGACCTTTCGGTGCCGCTCCGCTTCTATCATCCCTTTGTTCCCATTCGGATGCCTTTGTTCTGTTTCGGACCCCCTTGATTTCCTTGTGCTTTCATCTCCCTGTTATGTACAGGCACTTGTACATACTCGTTTTGGACCTTCAGTCTAAAATTGACCTGAAATGCCCCCTAGAGACTTCCTGCTCATTGCCTCTAAAATTAAGGACCAAATGGACAAACAGCAATGGCACAGTGCTCCACATGAGTCGCTGAGGCCAAGGTCCCTCCTTGCTAAGTCTCTGGTTCCCCTCTGGAATCATCCACCCTCGCCCAGTTCTAACACCATGGGCTTTCAAGGAGTGGCCTTATTCTTTCTGTGCCCAGGATTATGTGTTGCATGATGCAGGTGATGCAGGTTGAGAAGGGCTTTCACAGGTCGGACTTGTATTTCTTCCACGGGTCGAAGACTGGGAGAGGTGGGGGGGAAGTTGGAGTGGTGAGTCTTCTTTGGTGTGGGTAGAGTCTATTGATCAGTGGGTGGTTGTTGGGGATGTGGGCGAGTCTAGTTGCCTCCATTTCCATTCTGTAATCTAGATAAATGTCGATGGGGGGAATGGAGGCCTCTATTTCCATTGCGGTGGTGCTGGTCATACAGAAAGCACCTGTTAGCATTTATTCTGTAGAGTAGATAAAGTTCTGAGAATTAAGCTGTGCTTTGATTGCCAGAAGATGGGTAGGCCATATAAGACTATTGGGAGTACAGCACCTATGTACATCTGGCAGAGATGTGTTTGGTGTATGCCTGTCAGGGCACACCCGCCTGACCCGGCCCCACCCAGCCCCACTTCACCCGGTACCCCGCCACCCAGTCTTCTCCTACCTCCTCCCCCCTTCCTCTTTCTTTCTTTCTCCATTTCACTTCCTCTTCATTTATTTCACTTTCTCTTTATTCTACATGGACGACCTTTCCTTGTATCAATGTACCATTGACCCACCCACAGCGTGCTCATGACACGCCCAGCCCAGGCACCTCAGGTGACCCCCCGCTATGTCCAGCTCGTGCGTTCACAGCGGATGCCCTTGGGATCCCCCACAGGGACACCTGGGTGACTACGGCTGTATGCGAGGATGACATGGCACCCATCATGTGACCCAAGCCACATGTATATAAACATACCTGAAGTGGGAACCAAAGAAGTAGCCTTCTTCTCACCCTTTTCCACTTCAGGTAAGTAGCATAGCATTCCCTTTTAATAATAATAACACCCTTTTCCACTTCAGTCTAAGTGGCCAGGGACTGTCTCCTGAGCCGGGCCCGCCAGTACGCACGCCCGCTCCACACCCCATGAGACTTCTAGTGTCGGGCGTCTCACCCGGGCCTCCTCTACCCTGGGCGTGTCCCTGACAATGCCTCTCTCAGAGTTTCCTAACATCCTCAGTGCATGTGCCATGCCCAAAAGCTTTCATGGCTGTCTTTTTTATGTGCTCTGTGAACTTGAGGTGTGGGTCGAACCAGATACCTAAGTATCTCATAAGGTTGGATGGGTGGATTGTTCTGGTTGTGCCTTCTTCATTTGAGGGGATAGTGACTGACAGGCCCGGACCTGCATTTCTGCTGGTCTTGGTTTTGGTGAAGTGCATAAGTTTGTTCTTCACCTGGTCGGTCTTTAGTCCTCTCTGCTTTAACCAGTTGTGCACTGTGACAAATGCCAGCTGGATCACCTTTGATGCTTCCTGTCAAAAACCCTGCAGGGGGGCGTGAGTCCAAATGCAGGCAGGGCTCAACTAGAGGGGTTCCGAGTGCTCCGGTAGTGAACCCAAGCTTCTCCGGGAAGCCCAAGTCTGCTGGGTGGTACAAGAGGCTCTAAGAAGGATGCGGCCTCAGTGACTCAGAGGGAGCACTGTGCCTCTGTTACATCTCAGTTAGTCCTTTCATTTCATATGTCTGTAGGAGGGGATCAGGATTCACTCATAGAGGGACTTGGGGTAAGTTTAGTCGAGATTAGAACTGAGGTACAATGGGTTCTAATCTACAAGTATATATAGAGGGGGGAGGAGAAGGACTTTAGTCAAAGTCTGAGTGATACTGACAAACACTGAAAGGTGCTGAATGATACTGAAAGGTACCGAAAGGCCCCAAACAATATCTTTAACAGGGAACTGAGTGTCAGGGACTCGCCCAGGGTCGAGGGAGCCTGGGTGTAGCATCTGGGGCTAAGAGCCTGGCAGGGGGCAGATCGGGCATGCGTACTGACAGGCCCAATGTGGGACAGCAGTCCCTGGCCACTTAGACTGAAGTGGAAAGTTGAGAAGAAGGCTACTTCTTTGGTTCCCACTTCAGGTTCGTTTATATACATGCGGCTTAGATCACATGACAGGTGCCACATCACCCTCGCACACAGCCGTAACCACCCAGGTGTCTCCGTGGGAGATCCTGAGGGCATCCGGTGCAGGCACATGTACTGGGCACAGTGGGAAGTCGCCCAAGGTGCCTGGGTCGGGTGTATGGTGGGTGCACTGCAGATGGGTCAATGGTACATTGATACAAAGAAGGTCGTCCGTGTAGAATAAAGAGAAAATAAAGAAGAAGTAAGATAGGAGGAAAGTGAGGAAACATGGGTGAGGAGAGAGGAAGGAAAAAGGGGGAGGAGGTGAGGAGGGGTGGACAGTGGGGTACTGGGTCAGGTTGGGCCAGGTGGAGCTGGGTCAGGCGGGTGTGCCCTGACACTGAGGTGTCGGGTCAAGGAGGGCAGAGTAGAAGGCTGGAGGATAAATGGGAACGAGAAATGGGTAAGGGGAAGTTAGCTGACTGAATGGAAAGAAGACAACAGTTGTACTACGAATGGGAGGTGACTAATTTATGATGATGTGAGTGGGATCACCGGAGGATGCGGGTAGCTCCGAAGCCGGAGTTACGTATCCGAAGGATGTTGGGTGACTCCAATAAATGGGAGGGGGAATGGTTTAGAGGTATGTCACAAGATGTCAGAGATCCATCAGGAGGTCAGAGCAAATCTGGAGTCTCCAAATGTTCCGACTCAGGACCAAGCTTCCGGGATGGGAGTGGCCAAGGGTGAGTGTGCCGAAATCCAGGCCGGAGCTGAGACAGTTGGGATGGAAGGTGACGTTGGGAAGTGGGGAGGTATGGTATAGGGGGTGATGAGGTTGTTAGGAAGGTGTAGTGAGGTGGGAGAGTGTGGGGTCGGGAATCTGGGATATGACACTTCCACTCCAGATGGGGCTGACACCGCCAGTGAGCCATCATCTACATAAAGCGTTAGTGGTGATAGTTTTATTATGCCTTTGTTGTATTGCAGGCTTAGCTCTGGGTCTCCTTCTATTTTTTTTGTGGTTTCCTCGGCTATAGCCTTGCACATTGGGGAAGTGAAATAGGCTGCAAGGAACAGGGATACACATGAACCCTGGGGGATGCCTGTTGTTATGGGTTTGAGCTTATCACGTTTGCCATCAAGGCAGATTGCTTTCCTCTCCGATAGGAAGCTGTGTGTCCATCTCATGATGGGGGTGGGGATATGTAGTTTCCTCATTGTGTCTAGCAGATGCATGTGTGGGATGAAGTCAAAAAAGCCGGTGATGTTGAAACAACAGACCCGTGGAGGCTTAATGGCCTCTAACTTGTATCCTTTCTTTGGTCTGTTGAAACAACAGACCTGTGGAGGCTTAGCGGCCTCCACTGTCATATCCATCCCCGGCCATCGACTTCCGGTCCCTCCGATTCCTCTGTTCCAACTCCGCTCCTCCCTCACTAACCTCGGAGTCCCCGTTATTCCGCAATCCTCTCGGTACCCCTGAATGGTCACCACCCCCCCATTCCAATTTATTACCTACGCCTCCCTAAGTACGGAGCCCCGAAGACTTCCGGACAGCTCCGACGTCCGCTAGCGCACCCCCGCCTCCGCTGAGCAATACACTCGCCTGCCATGCAGAGTCCACCTTCGGGCTTATCCCTCCTTTCCGTTTCTGGGTTATCGCCTGCCTTTCCGCTAACCCCGTGAACCGACTCGTCGGTAATATTCAGTCGGCTAATGGTTAAACCCCGTTAGCTCCGCTCCGTTCGGCTCTGCCAATTGCGGAACCGTCTCCGCTGTAACCATATATATATCCCACTTGTACATAGGTTACACCCCAGTAGAAAAATCAACTAGAGTTCCCCCCTAGGTTCTAATTGCCAGTCAGTAAGTTAGGGCACGGACGTGTCACTAGGCACAGCGCTGAAGGAGAGAACGAAGGAAGGTCAGTTGGGAGGTTCAAACGAGACCACCACCAAGCTGTTCCCTGGTTCTTTAGTTAGGATGGGGAAGTGTACTAGTGTTGTTTATTGTAAATATAGTACCAATCCGAGTGTTTTGGCTAATTCTATTTTTATGGGTTAGTTTTAAAGTTCCTGGGAATTGACTTACAGATAAACCGAGCCCTGCGGAGCTGTTTCTTTATTGAAATTTATTAATTTGTCTAGGTGTAATTTTGTGTAGCGTTGTTTAATTTGGATTTAAACTTGAATTTAATCTTCTACTTGGTGAAGTTTCAAAGATTCTATTCAGTTAATGAATTTGGATGGTGTCTGGAGTGTCCCTTGAGTTCGTTTTATTTTTGTCTTTATTTTATTGCTTGTTTTAACAGTAGGAAAATAACTGTTTTGTGTTTACACTTTGAAATCTGGAGTGTTAACCAGCTCTCCTGTTGAAATATCTACTTAATATTTCTCTCCTTAATTGCTGCCTTTTACTACAGTGGCAATCTTAACTGTATATCACTTTTTCGCACTGGAGTGACAACCAGAAATGCTTGAGAAAAATAATACTCTATTTTCTTACTTCTCTGAGGGGGGCGAAAGGTCGCAGAAAGGGTCTCCCTTTTATACTCCTTGGGTCGCCTTCCTTTTTCACGCTCTACCTTCTATTTACAGGATTTATTTACAGTGTATTTTTCTCAAACTGAATAAAAAGTGAAATTTTCACGCTATAGTTCCGCTGCGCTTTGCTGCGCTTTGCTGCGCTGAACTGCGGTCTACTGCGGTCAGACTGCGCCTGGAATCCTTATTGTCCTTCCTCGCCTAAGCTATTTTAATGGTTAATTAGAATTTGTCTGCGCCGCATTTGCCGCAGTTCCCTATTTCAAATTCCCCATATTTCCCATTAAGTTCGCTATGACTCGGTCATACTGAATTCAAACCTCGCATTACTATGCGTGCGACTGTGCTGAGACCTTCAGCTGATTTATTCCAATTTTATTTAGTGACATTTTAGTTAAAATGAGACTGAAATGATAAATGAGTGAATTATTCAGGTTTAAAACTGAAAGAAAAAGTTGCTAGTAATCAAGAATTACTCAAACGAATGTGTTATAGCTCTCTACTTCATTAGAACATCGTTCCCTAAAATTCCCGCCATGGTCCGTCGTAGTTTAGTAGTTTTCGTGAATTTCGTTCATATTCCCTGATTCCCTTTTGTATTATCACATCCTAATCCTCCATATGTATTGTTCGTTGTTATAGTAGGTCGTCCTCGAAGATATCATATTTTTATGTATTTTATTTAGGGCTCTAGACCTCTTGAAGCTGTCTTCCCGCGTGTTTTCAGGTTTCTAACTTCATGTCCTTGTATCTCATTCATTTCTGGATGTTTTCTCACGTTCTTGGTATCATAAATTTCCATTTATTCCCACCTTTCCAATGGTACTAAGGTTGTGTCCTATTTCCCTGTATTCGTTGAGTTAGCAAAGTTTCGCGCGCACATTCGGTAATCACGTGCGTCGTTCCCATAGTTGTTCGTATGCGGGAGCCGTTTTCGTTTAGTTGTTCGGGATTTATGATATGCGCGGGTGTTTATTTCTTTCATATGGGCTTCTGTGATTTATTTCAGATTTTTCCCTCATGATCTAAGGTTGTTTTGCACCTTTCGTGCTTTGTTTTGACCGGGCTCTTCCTTATTTGGACGGAAATTGGTCTTCGCGATCTGCCGAAGTGCGGATCTCGGTTCCGACGGCCGGTTCCCTGCGCATCGCCACCCTCACGTGTCATTACACATGATGCGGATTCCTATATTCCCGTCATGGGTATAACTTCACAACGGCTGGACCGTTTGGGCTGAGAATTTGCATAACTATAGTTTCCTATTTTTCATAATTTCCGTGTAAATTTCGTTGTATGTTTTAATTATGGATCCTACGCAATCATCGTCTTGTCCCTGAGTTCGGACTTTTGATGTCGCTATTCCCGTTATTGGATTTCTCATTAACGCATGATCCTTTTATTATGGAAATTTGGGAGGATTAAGAGTAGATCCTTTCCTTTCTAATGGGCTATCAAGCTTGTCTCGGTCGTTACTAGTTAATCTTCGCGCTTGCTTTTTAGACATTGTCCTCGTTTTGCAGGAGTTTTAGTCATATCTCCGTCGTTTATGGGTAGTTTCCCCTATAATTACTCTCATTGGTTCCGTTTGGGTGACATCTACATTTCCTATTATAAACACGACTTTGACTTTTGCATTAGTTCCTGAGGAATCTTTGTTCCGTGGTACTTCCATCCTTGCTATGTGTGCGGACGTGGGAAAGTAGTTTCCGTGGAGGTTCTCTGATTATTTTTATAGTCAAATCTTGGTCGATTGTCCTAATTCTTGGTTTAATATTTGCTATAAATTCCCCCGAGAATTCCGTCTCGTTGATGGTAAGCTTGAAGTATTTTTGTTATTTTTCTTTCTTTCGATTTATCGTGTATAGTCGTAATAATTCGTAAAAATTCGTAAAATTCGTTAAAATTCAGGTCCTTCTATGTTCTCATATCTACTTGTCGTATGAGGTTTTGTGATTTATCTGGCATATTTTCATAATGGGTTTCCATAGTGTGGCCGTTATTTCTCCTACAGCGCTCCTGGCAGAAGTCGCTGAGGCCGAAGCCCTCCGTTACGGAGACATTCTTTCGTCTCAAGTCTGGTCTCTGACATCCACATTACACATGTTTCTAGATCCATTGAAACAATTGGATCTGTGGAGGCTTAACAGCCTCTACTTTATTTCTATTCTCTAAAACCATTGAAAGAATGGTTGCATCAAGGCTTAACAGCATCACGAAAACTAACACAAGCTCCCATTAGCTCTTGAGTGCTCCTGAGCAATTAGAGCTATTAGAGCCCAGGAGAAAGGTACCCCCCTCTGGAGTGCTCCCGAGTGACACTTTGCTCCCGAAGTGCTCTGGAGCACTCTGGAGCACTCTGGAGTGATGCTGAACTACCGGTTTTCTACATTTGCACAACAATTCCAATCATGTTTATATTACAGGAAAATGGTATAAATCATTATGATCAAAATATATGTACATGAAATGTAGCTAATAATCATTATCTCTGAGTACCTATCCAAATGGGTCTTCCATGCACTGCATGTCTACAGACCAACGGACTTGCTATTAGAAGAGGTTGAGGTAGAGTAGAACAGGAACTCACAGGATGGTGGTAAATAGTCTGACACTCCGGACACTGGCATCATCATTGACTCCGTGACAATATGGCACTGTCAGTGAGTGGGTAGGGTTGGCTTACAGGAATTCAATGAGGGCTGTCAGATGGGGTGGGGTGATGCATCACTGTCATCAATCAGTATGGGAATGACATGGCACCTAAGAAGCGCAAATGTGACTGAAAAGAATGAGTGACATGAGTAAAAATAGAGGATGTGTGATGACAAACCTGACAGCAAGATGGCAAAGGCATATGCCTTCGGGGCCAGGAGCATGAGGGGTTCAGTGTTGCTGATCTAAGCCCAAGCTGGGGGCAAAGAGTGAGTATGGGGAATGGAATCATCGAAGATATAAGTTGGTACCTGAAAGCATGGCAGCTGGTAGCTGTTTTGACAAGGAAATCCCAGTGTGTGTGTGTGTACTCTCTCTTATTACCCCACAGCCTCAGGGAATCCCAGTGGGTGCAACACTTCACTGCAGTCAGGGTCACAGTTGGCTGTGGCTCCTGCCAGTATAGCTTGACAGCATAGATAGCATAGATTGCATGCTCATGTCCAGAGCAGTTGGGCAGGATGGGGAGAAGGGCTATTGATGTGGTGGAGAGGAGCTGCTTGCTGCCGTGCTTGTTGAGAGAAAAAAAAAAACAAGATTACTCACGTGCTTTTGCAGGATATGCTGGGGCCACACCTGTAATGAATTGGCAACTAGGTCCAGCCTCTATGATTTCGTAATATTATATCGAGCAACTAGGCCTTGCTAGTGGGATATTAGGTGGTACCAAAATGTGTGTGTGTGTGTG